ACTCCAACTTCAATTATTTGTACGCTTATTTTTAGAGTTCAACTTCTTTTTCAATTGGATTTCTCTAATAAGTATGAATTAGATGATATGTATTATTTTTAATTCTTAGCTGTTGTGATGTGTTTAAATAATTTCTTGAGATTTTTCATATAAAATTTGATTATTTTGATCAATATACTTCAATTAAGTACTGTGAGATTTCTTATTTAAGCTTGGCTATGACAAAAAATAATGTAAGATTCAACGTGCCTAAACAGTATATGACTTATGTAGCACGAATCTACCTATTGAAAGGTACATTCAAATATTGCGCTTATTTATAACTCAGATTTGCGATTAATTCGTAGAATTATGTAGCTTAATAATCTCTGTGTTTATACAGTCAATTATCTCATGGAGTCACAACTTGAATTTGGAATAATAACTCCTTTGTTACTTCCTATTGTACGATACTTTACAAATAATATGTCAGTATTAACTTAAAACTATTTACAAACATAATATATAATGTTCGTGAGAATTTATTCACTTAACGTATTTTTCCATGAATTTACGGTGAAACTCGCTTCTTAATGAATCGTTTATGAATACATCATGTTTTTGTTTCGGTTCCGAACGAGCACAATTTTTGAATACGACATCATCATCCCATCGCCGTCTGACTTTCATATCTGTTCTTCCACTTTGTGAAGAATAATTTAGCAGAGGATTACCAGAAAGAATATTTTCCATTCGGATTCTTTCCTCCTCCTGCCGTTTCTCCATTTCCTAAAAAAGAATAGCATAGAAGTTTCAACACATATCAAAAACAAAGCTGGAAATATTCATATTCATGGACTGAAACAAAATAGAAATTGGTTATATAAAACAATTTAAATTCGTACCTTTTTAGCTTGTTCTGCTGCTCTTTCTTTTTTTATACGTTGCAATTCAGCTAAAAGTGCAGCAGTATCATCCTCGTCGCTCTCTGATTCAGAGTCGTCATCGTCAAGAGGATCATCTGCATCTAAACTCGCGGTAGGCACTTGATCGAGTTTTTGTCTCTTAGCACTAGTCGTGGAACTATCACGAGGTGCTTCTATCATACGCCGGCTAGAGCTCTTGTCCTTTTCCCTTTCACGTTCACGTTCTTCCAACTCCTTCCGAAAATCACGGCTCCGGAGTTCTTCTATCGTTCCCTGTCCATGTTCTCTGAAACGGAAATTATTTAACTCTTCACCTGTATGAGTTATTTTCGACACAAGCTATTTTTCTTATTTCTTATCTCTGACTTGCTTAAGAAAATTAAGATAACACATAATAATGAAAATTATTGGAACATAGTCTAGAACCTTAAAAGAATATTCAAGAATTTGTTGAGGTTTTTCAATACAAAAGAACTACGTGGATTTAAAGAGACCAACATGCAAAGGAAGTCAGTAAAAACAAGATTCCAGACGATTAACTGCTACGAGTAAAACAGGTTATGTTCTGTTATACTCTAAATCGCGATGATTAAAGGCAAACTTGTTTATACAGAACCAAAGATGGATACACAATTGTTGAAAATATTATAAGGCTAAATGTTAATACCTGTATTTAAGTTTCGTGTGAGACGGTAAATCTCTGCTGCTATATTGTTTTGATATAGCACTTAAATCTTTTTCACCGCGTCCTTGTCCTCCTCTAGCAGGTTCAAACGTGGGTCTCGCAGCAGTGGTCATTTTATTCAATGATTGCTTACTATATTTCTATATAAAACTCAATTATATTGTACTTTTATCTATTTACGTTCTACAAGTTTTCAAAACAAAACCATGGACCTACCCACCAGGCAGGGATCTCGTGTCCATCCGTACACGGCTCGCTTCCCCTATTTTTCGCCCGTATTTCGATCCCCACTACTATTCCCCTCATGCGTGCTCATGCGCGTTCGCGAAGCTCTCCGCAGCGGTACCGTGAAAATCAGTGCATACCCCCACCAACTATTGGTCCCCACCATGGTCGCGTCGTCCCCACTTTCCGGCGTGTACGGAAAGATACGAGATCCCTGNTGCACAGTGGCTAGCGGCAGCAATTTAGTATCTTTTGCATTCTGTAGGTGTTTTGTTTAGGTAACAATAAGTTACATACGTCAACAAGTTGTTTGTTTTTATAAGTATTTGTGCCCTTTCATCATGGCAGACAAATAAAAAAAACCAAATAAANACCAAATCCTATGAAAAATAGCCGGGCTAATGTATGTTCCGCGTTAAGGAGTATTCCCGTATATAAACATTATTTATTAACATCATGCAAATTACAATATACGTATATTTGCTTCGCATCAATGATTCGTATTATCATATTCTTATTCGCATTATAATTTGCCTCGGCGTTCTTTTTCTCGGTTGAAATAATTATTAACTAACAATCTACTACAAGGGTCTGTCTGAAGGAATCGCAGGGTAGGTTTTCCTTGGTTTCGTTCCGAAACTGTCGCTGTCCGATCACCAAGCGACTAGTCGACCCCAAACAGCGGATGGTCAGTCTGCAGATTCGAAGTCCTTTTCGACCGGGGCTCCATGACCCTTCTGCTTTTACACGCTTTTCCGTATACTCTATCCTACCGACTACAGCCCTGATTTCGCTCGTTTTCAAGCTGTCGCGTCCGACAGTTATCCCATGGCTGTCGGATTGTGGGAATACTCCTTTACTATACTAAACATCGAATTTCGGAATGCTGAAATCTTGTTTCATAATATAATCTTTTAATTTGCTTTTTTCATTCTCATTCGATTGTCGCTCTAGAAGCTACTTTTCACTTTCAAAAGATATTAATCAACTGTTACATTTTGTTTACAGGAGAAGACGAACGCCGTGAAAGCGTTGGCTCGCGAACAGTGCGAGGCAGCGGTACAGTTGCAACGACAGCAGCAGCTACAGCAACACCAGAGCCAGCAGCAGCAACAGCAACATCAACTTCGCGGTCCGTTGGCCATCCACCACGCCGGGTGTCCGACGAAAATCGGTCCTGTGACGAGCCAACCGAACGCCAGTAGCCACGCGACGCACGCTCGCGGTCCGCAGTACCAGCATTATCACCATCATCATCACCATCGGCACGTGTCGATGTCACCACCTCCTTTGTTACTCTCGTCGCCGGCGCCGATCGCGGCGACGCACAATCATCTGAATGTCAGCGGGCATAGGAATGTGGTAACACCGCCGGACACGCCAGCGGACAGGTCGCCGCCGAGTCCTGGAAATAAACTGAACAGATCGCAGCATTTGCCCCGAGAGGCGACGGGCAGTGTTAGCCCTGGACTACCGGCGGCCACTCTCGATCTGAGCAGCGCGGCGACCACAAACAGTCCCCACGAACTCTCCACGTTGGTTTAGTGGTGTTTTAGAGGCTTGGTTTTTTCATCAGTTCGCAGATACACAATTTTATTTATTAGTAGACTGCGGATTTTTTGCATTTATGGATAATGTGTAATATCAAAATCTGCAAGGTATTAAAATGCGTGAATGATGCAAGAATTGAATTCATATAAATGTTTGGTTTGCATACGAATTCTCAGTCTATTTTTTTTATAAGCTTAAATGATGTTGAATCAACATATTCAACTATTTCATATCAATGATTGATAGACTTGATGCGTTTACGTATTGCCGGTGATAAAATAATTAAAGATAAACAAAATATTTAAAGGGGGATCGATAGTAGTAAAAGACCTAAAAACGGCTGATTAAAATATTTTATGCATCCACTGCCAACTATGGAATAACTTTTTTTAAATTGGTCGATCTAGTTTGAGTTAATGGATAATACTTCGTTGTAAAAATTCAATCAACATGATCTCGAATGAGCTTAATACATTATTTACCGTGGAAAAGTAAAAAATCGAAACAAATGTTCTAAGAAAAGTTGAAGTTGCTCGTTGACGTATGTTGATTAACAAATTAATTCTAACGACTGAGCGATCGAAAAAATGTTGAATATACTGTCGAGAAAGGAATGACTATTTTCTATCCGCGTGTATCTTGCCATTATCATACTATTAACTATTACATACAGTTAGTATTATTCGATTACGTTATAATTGATACCGATATCCTTGCCTTATTATTATCGTCATTATTGTTAATGTTACGAAACCTCTAGTCCTAGATTACTTTCGTCTTTGCGAAAGAATAAGGTTCTTAGACTTTTGCATAACCGCGTGCGCATTCACAAAGTTTGAAGTTCAGAAACCAGAAATCTCTCCATTATACATATAACAAATAAGTCTTTCACAAACCTCTGTTAATTTTGTTAGAAATTATGATAAACTTTGTATAGTACTTTGATCAAATCGCATTTAGCATATAAATAAGAATTAATAAACGTTTGTTATTTAATTTTTGCGCAGGACTTAGTAAATTGATAACTTAATTTTTTTAGATGCTGTTATCAGTTCGGACTTACATTCTTAAAGTTTATTTAAATATTA